ACACACACACACACACACACAGATTATAATCTCTTACTATAATTCATAAACTTCACCTAATGGGCTATTAACTTGCTGGTTCTACAGATCCCAAAGCTCTAAAACTCAATGACAGGGAAATAATAATATAGCAAGTCTCATTCTCAAAGCCAAATCTTTATTTTTGTTTAATATGAAGAATGTTTGCACAAAACCCTTTAAAAGATATAAGAAGGCAAAGTTATAGTCCAAGTCATATATATAAGATGGTACTTTCTGGGGGCTGGGGATTTAGCTCAGCGGCATAAGCGCCTGCCTTGCAAGCAGGCAGTCATGAGTTCGATCCCTGGTACCAATAAAAACCAAAAAAGACAACAACAACAACAAAAAGATGGTACTTTCTGATTGGTCTTTCAATCAGCTCCCAAAAATATGTTCACTATCTTCAAAATGAGAAATGAATCATATAAAGTACTGCATTGTAGGAGAAAGAAAAAGCCTAAGAAAAGAAGGTAAATTAAATTACATAATGGGCTGGGGATGTGACTCAGTGATAAAGGGTCTGGTTTTAATCTCCAGCACTGCTAAATATGTAAGTAAATACATACACAGGAGGTATACCAAAGACCTAAAAGGTAAAATCAGGTTTATCACCTAAAATACAGAGTCCACCAAAAATATGTATACACACTTTAGCAGTTTGCCTCACTAATAAATGTCTGGAAATTAATGTTCATTACTTTTAAGCACCTCTTATAATAGTAGAGGCCAAAGATAACATATTAGGGGCTGAGGATTTAGCTTAGCGGCATAAGTACCTGCTTTGCAAGCAGGTTAATCCAGTTCAATCCCGGGTACCAATTAAAAAAAAAAAAGATAACATATTAATCTTATGATGTCTTGATAAATTTAGCATTAAAATACTTGCACAAGTTTTTCTTTTCCTGGGGTATACTTTTTTTTTGCCAGACTCTGCCTGTTGGACCCTAAATTCCTTAATGCTGTTTTGTTGTAAGAAGCACTTCGACATACAACGTTACTCTGCTTCTAAAAACACTAATATACATATAATCATTCAGCATAAATTGGACTTACAAAAAGGTAACATTCACTCCTGGTCAAGTAATTTATTAAGGTACTTTCATACATAACATTTCATTGAAGTTGGGCATGATGGCACAACACTTATAATCCTAGCACTCTGGGAAACTGACACAGGAGGACTGCAAACTCAAGTCCAGCATGGGAAATTTAGTGACTTAGCAAGTCCCTGTCTCAAAATAAAAAGGAAGGAGGGGGCTGGCTGGGATGTAGCTCAAATGCAAAGGCCCTGGCATCAATCTCCAGAACCACACACGCACAAAAATGATTACCATTCTGTGAATAGTTACAGCATCTCTTAAACCCATCTTACAGAAGAGGAATGAAATGATTCACCTAATGACAATCTGCTACTGGTAAAGTCTCCAACTCAAATCACATGACATCATATCCCAGACAGGCTTTCCATATCACACTGGGCTCTCCATTTCACAACCCAAAGTCATAAAACTATCCTGTTGGCCCAATTTGCATGTATTTATTATCCACAGTGTAATAACAAGTGTCAGCTATGAATGATAACGTGTTATAATCACAAAAAGGAAAGATAACTCAGTTTTTTCTGAGACTAGCATTCAGTTCAATGCTCACTCTATACTTTGCCTAATGTAGATTTCACAACAACCTTTCAGGTAGGCAGGCCCACAGGCCCACAGGTCCACAGAGACTTAGTAGTTTAAGATCACCCATTACATGCCCCAACAATTTTAACCATGTTAACTATACTACACTGCTTTACATGGTATCATAGTGATGCCCTTTTCTGGACAACACCAAAAAGAATACTGTTTAGTTCAAAATATTTTAGTGTTTTAAAGTGTCCAACCTTCTCCCACTTGTTGCTGTCATAATCTTAGTTCCCAGCAGAGCATCTTTTCTCAGTCCTGATTTTCTCTGCTTTACTTTTGCCATCTGCTGGCCTCACTGTGCCTGGAAGAGGCTCGCCTAATGGACAGAGAAGGGATGCAGCCTTAACCAACAGTGTCTTATAGGGCCACAGAACTCATACAAATATTTTTCCCTGGGTATAAGTAAAGTCTATCAAATACTACATACTGACCTCTAGAATGTGACCTTGCCCAAACAATTAGTAAGTACAAACAATAAACAGTGAAAATCTATCATTTCAATCACCAGTTGTAAGGGCTTTAACACAGATGCAACAGAACAATAATAAAACACACAAAAGAAACTGTACTACCATCCCACAGTCTGATATCCCACCTTACTATTGTTAATAATATTCTTGTCAATTATTAAGAATATAGATAGCACTAACCTCAAAATACTAATGTGCTCCCTCCAGGTAATTAGTGTTAATATGAGACCATGATAGATAAGAAAAATTGTAAACACACCACTTCAGATAATTTAAACCCAGAAACATTATTGAAGGACTTGTCAAAAAAAAATTCAATTAGCTGTAAGTAGTTAAGGTGTATTAAGACTCCCCAAAGGGGCTTCCTTATCTGAAACAAGCAGGAGGAACTCTGTTAGCACAAGTTGTACTCATAATGGAAAATGAGTAGCTAACAAAGCTTTTAACTAAAATTTCATGTACAGAAAACAAATTTTAAAAATGCTAGGTATATTTGAGCCAAACTGGAGGGGCCAGTGGAAGAGACTGCTGTTGGGAATAAGTACAGAGGGACAAAAAAAAAGAAACAGGAAGAACTGAGCTACAGGAAGTGCGGAGGAGCAGGGAGGAACAAGGGGAAAAAAAGGCTGGAACCCAGGAAGTGCGGACAGAGGTGGGCAACCTAGACCTACAAAAGTTAAGGAAGTGATGTCCTTAGAACCACAGCCTGCCTGTGCAAAACATCATCATCTTCTACAGGCTAAAATTAAATTAAAGGAAATGAACTGGCCAAGATTATTTTTAAAAATTCACTTAATATGCAGAATAGAGGACGATAATAGAGGACGATCCTATACAAGGATAAAGTAAGTAGGACTGGGGGAGGGGTGGAGGTAGACTGTGTGTAAACACTAGGACCCAGGCTCTTGGTTGGACTGTCAGCAAAACACTCACACCCTACACACCCAAAAGGACAAGGGAAGTACCTAAAAGAGAATGGAGGTAACTTTTTAAAATGTATTAGGTTTAAATGGTTGAGTTGTATGATATGTAACTTATATTTCAATAAATCTATTATTTTTTAAAATCTATTATTTTAAGTGTGTTAAACTAGGCAATGTAGGAGTGGCAGTGATTTAATTTGCTGGATTAGTTTAGTTGTCTAAGAGTACCCTAACATCCTCCCTATATTGACTTGTGTCTAGGAATATCTCTGTTGAAGTATGTACCTAAGAACATATACAGGAGGGGGCCTACTGCTTCCTTTAAGGAGGAGGTATTTCTCCATTTTTGCCTTTTATCATATAAAAATTTACACGACGCAAGTGAAAAAAACAATTACACGACGTGTGAGGGATGGAAGCTTTGGGGGGAGGGCTCTGCTTTGAAGTGGAATATCAGGTTTCCTCCCGGGATGATCTAGCACCAAACTCTGTCTAATCCAAGAGAAAACGATCTGAGGTGGAAAGGTCAGGTCAGTTCGGGAGAAATCCCAGGTTTATCATGAAATGATCACAGAAGTCCTATCTCGGTCTTCTCAAACTGGACTATAGCCCCGGTGTCACTTTTACAGTTAGTTGCGAAGAAGACAGATGCTTTGCAGTGATCCCAGAAGTATCCTACGAGCTGCCCACTTATGCAAATTAGAAAGCCTCAGGGAGCGACCTGGGTGAAGTTAAGCGCCACATCCGGCGTTGGGATCCCGGTTCCTGCCTCCCAAAGTAGGAAAAGGGACGGATGGAGCAGGGTTACGGGGAGCCGCCCCTCCCCCTTCACGCCCCTCCCCACCCGCCCAGGCCTCAGGCGGCGAACCCAGGGGGCAGCGGCGGCGAGCGCCCCCACCGGCGGCAGGCGCACCTCCCCCGCGACAGCTTTAGCCGCCACCGCCGCCGCCGCCACTGGGTCGGGGCCTCCCCGGGAGCAATAGGCTATCGATTCAGCTGCCTGTCGCTAGGAGCCCCGGGAGAGCGAGGCCTACACCGACGGGCCGGAGCCCCGGCCTCGATTTCACCACTTTCCCACACCGGAGGGCGAGCCTCAGGGCAAACAGGGCCCACTGGGCGGGAGGGCGGAGAAACGCTGACCACCTGCAACGGCGGCCTCGGGAAAGCGGGCTGAGGGGGTCGAGCTCCCGCCAACAAGTCTCCCGGGGGTCGCCCAGCCACCCCCTGCCTCGCGAGTTGCGCATTCAAGTTCCGGCTGGTGCCCCTCAGCCTCCGAGCCCTCGCCACTCGCCAAACCAGAATAAAAACAAGACGCGGAAGAGGTCGCCACAGGACCGACGGAGATGGAGCGGGCCTCGGAGCGCTCCCCTCCCCCTCCCCCGCCAAACCTCGGTGGCAGCCCCTGGCTCTCGGGGTCCGGCCCTGTCACCGCCCGGCCCCAAGGGCCCTTCTCCATGACACCCGCGACAGGGGCTCGCGCTCCCTTGGCCCGCGGCGCGGCGCGGCGCGGCTCGGCCTCCTCCCCCTGCAAATCCCAAAAATGCCCCCCGGACCTTTTCAAGTACGCGGAGGAAGAGTTTGCCGTCAAACTTTGTCAGGCGGTAACCTGGCTCCCTCCCCCGAACCACACTGGAGGGGGCGGTCATCAGGAGAGATCACTTTGCACTTGGGATAAAGCGAATTCAGGACCTGTCAACCATTTTGGGTCCTTTTTTTTTTTTTAATAGAAGACACCTTCTCTTCCCTCTCCCTCCTTCCCTCCCCCTGCAATGGTTTTAATTTGACACCAAATCTTCCCACCGCTGGAGAGGGGCAGAGGGAGGGAGGGAGGGGTGGGGACGGAGGGCGGCGAGGGAGAGCGACGGGGAGACGCGGGGAGGGGAAGGGGGTTGATTTACCTGAGACCAGCCACTGGCCTCCATTGTTGGAGAATTCAATGGCATTGACACAGCCGAAGTGGCCGAGGAGGTCCTTCTTGTAGAGGTTTCTGCAGCCCCGCAGGCGTCTCCTCTGAAAGTCCTGAGTGAGCAGGGGGTCCCCATGCAAGCCCCGTTGGGACAAGAAGCCCACCACTGACCTCATGCTGCCCCCCAGGCCAGCTCTCCTCTTCATGCTGGAACCGCCGCCGCCGCTCGCGCCGCCGCCCCTCCCTCGGCCTCGCGCGCGGCCGCCGCTCCCCGCCCGGCCCTCCCCCCGCGCTGCGCGGCGCTCCGGATGGTGCTTTAACCAGCCATGGCCGAGAGCGAGGTGTGCAGACGCGCGGCGGCGTTCGCGGCTTCCCGACGGCGCCCTCCCCCGCCCCTTCCCCCGGAGGCTCCTCCCTCGGCGTCTCCGCCTCCCACAGCAGCTGGTCTTCAGCTGCGGCCGCGCTTCCGCGCCGCGCGGCCCTTCCGCAGGCCGCCGGGTTGGACGCCCGCGGGCGCCGCCGCCCCTCCCCCGCCGCGCCGGCCGGAAGAACGCGGGCAGCGGCCTGGAGACCGCGGGCGGCGGCCCCGCCGAGGCCTCGCCCGCACTCTGCAAAGTTCAATGCGCTGAACAAAGTGGCCGCCGAGCTACGGGCTCGCCCATTCTCCCCGCCCAAGCTGCCAAAGGCCCAGCGTTGGGCCGAGTTCGGAAAAAAAACGGCCCGAGGTGGCAGGACTGCCGGCAAAGGCTTGGGTCCTCCTGCCTCGGTGCACCGAGCCCTGGGTCCCTCCATGCACTCCAAAAGAAGAGGGCACCGGGAATTAGGACTGGACTTTGGGATGAAGGTTGCGTGGAGATTTGGTTAGTGCACCTGTCCATGTCCCTGGTATAATTTTAACACTACTCCATTCCCTGGTTCAGTTCTCTTTAATTCTCCCTTCCTCCAGCTCTTCAGCCAAAATGAAAAGACCGCATTGTTCCGTGGAGTAGGTAATAGAATGTGAGAAAAGGATTGAGAAGGGGCTGGGGGAGATGCTTATGTCATAGAGTGTGATGGGCTCCTGACATGGTGGAAACCTTAGCGTGCTGGAAGTCCTGGTAGTCCCCACCAAAAAGGGAGACGGAGGGAGGGGCAGAGAGGGAAAGTGGGGGATGGGTAGGAAGGAAAAAAAATCAAGACAGACCTATAAAGTAGAAAGTACATCTATTCACTGGTTCTAGATACCCTTACAAGACACAAGAAGCATTAGAACCAAGAGGTTGTACAACTGTTAACTAGCAGTTGTGTGGGCAACAAGTAGCTGCCCTTCAGTAGGTTGGGAGTTACCCAGGATAAGTGCTTTGGATGCAGAAGTTCCATTTTCAATGTACTTTTCCTGAAAGCTAAATGATAATCTACTAAAGTGGGCATCAATTTAGCAGGAATTACATCCTCTGGACCAGAGATATTACAGAAGTGGTTGAGTACAACCACCATGAAAGATGGGCTGAATGGGGCTGGGGATTTAGCTCAGCGGCATAAGCGCCTGCCTTGCAAGCAGGCGGTCGTGAGTTCGATCCCTGGTACCGATAAAAATGAAAAAGACAAAAAAAAAAAAAAAAAAGAAAGATGGGCTGAAGGAAAATTTTTTAAAAAAGAAGACTGGGTATGGTGGTGCCGGCCTATCATCCCAGCACTCTGGAGGCTGAGGCAGGAAGATCACTGTGAGTTCGAGGCTAGCCTGAACTGAAAAGTGAACCCCTACCTCAAAAAAAAAAAAAAAAAAAAAAAGACAACATAGAAGAGCTTCCCTGTCAAACAAAATTGCCGACTTCTAGGATTTGTATACGGTGACAATACAATTAGTCATCTAATAACAAATATGCAAATACTTAATCTCAATCCATTTTATAACAAGTGCTACAAAATTTAATCGGATTGCAGCAAATTCCAGAGATTAGAAGGTCACTGTGTGGTTTTTCTGTTTTTGTTTTTTGTAGTTCTGGGGATGAACCCCACAGGTGTTCATCACTGAGTTATACCCTCATCCCTGTTTGTTTGTTTGTTTGTTTGTTTAATGGTACTAGAGATTGAATTCAGCATCTTTGCACTGAGCTCCATCCCCCATCCCTTTTTTATTATTTAATTTGAGACAGAGTTCACTAACTTGTCCAGACTGGGCTCAAACTTGTGAACTCTCTGTTTTGGCCTCCCAAGTAGCTGTGATTGTAAGCAATTATCACCACGCCTGGCCAGAAATTACAGTACTAATGAAATATTAATCTGAATAGGCAAGGGTGTAGTGCTTTCTTTTAAAAAGTTTTATTCTTAAGGTTCTTCATAATAAGAAACCACAATATAAAGACCAGCCGTAACAGTGGTACACCAGCTTGATTAAACATTTATAATACTAAATATCTTTCATAACAATATCATAATGTGCAATTGATCATTTACCTTTGTGATTATAGCATAGTCTCCAATACTCTGTTGTAAGCTCTCCAAAGCAGCAACCGTGTGTGTTGGGTTCAAGGTACACATCAAAAGCCAGCAATACTGGCAGTTAGTGGCCACTCAGAATTTGATGAATATACAAGTAAACTTTGAAAGGGAGGAATTTGGAGAAGGTTGGTGTCTCTTGTTTCAGGTGTCTTGAGTTTGAGGTATCTGTGCTTCATTCCAGGGAATCCATTTATTGCATGGCCAGTTTCCCATTTCACTATGCTTGTGCTTGATATAATCAATTTACACGTCCAAAACCAGCAAGCCTTCAATGAGTTCCCATCATCTTATTATGCCAAGGTTGGGACAAATGGACACATTATGTGCTCAAAGTGGTCTTTATTATGACACCGCCTGTATGTCACTCTCCCATCTCTCATGTAACTATATACCCCTTCTCTACAATTTTAAGTGTAATGTTTTCCCCAATCTCTGGAAAAACCATCCCATTTACCTCAGTATAAAAATAACCCAGGATTAAGCCAGATGTGGTGGCTCACACTTGTAATCCCAGCACTTGTGAGGCTGAAGCAAGAGGATCTTTGCCAGTATGAGACCAGCCTGAGCTACAAAGTGAACTCAAGATCAGCCTGAACTGCAGAGAGAGACCCTGTCTCAAAAAAGACAAAAAAAAAAAAAAAAAAAAAAACAACCAGAATCACATACCGGGTCAATTCTAGGACTTTGCTGGAAACTTCTTTAACTGTTCAGTGACCACATATGGCAGAAATATAGAACCACCCAGTCTATTTATCTCCTACTGCTACCCTGGACAGCTGTTAGGACAGTGAATAAAATCTCTCTGTCTATAATTAGTGTTGCCAGATAAAATGCAGGACATTCAGTTCAGTGTGAATTGCAGATAATAATATTTTAATGTAAGTGCATCTCATACAATATTTGGAATATACTAAAATAGTTGTTTGTTTGAATTCAAACTGAATTGGATATCCTGTATTTTTATTTGCTAAATCTGACAACCCCCTCCTATAAAACAACCAATTTAAGAAAAACTATGCATTGTTGCCTTTATAAAGAATCTAACAGTCTCTTGTATTGTTTATAGTGAAAAGACCATTGTACTTAGTTTTAAAATAAGAAATGAAATTGGATTCCAGAGTAATTCCTGAGTACACTGTAGTACACTGTAGAAGATATTAAAGAGGATAAAAAATTCATTCACATTTTCCTTACTTAGGCCAATAAACTAAAGTACATTAATACTCATACTCAAGAAACCTTGAAATGCTCTTTAGGAAATTCATTCTAGAAAAACTAAAATAGGAAAATTGCTAAACACTGGATCCCTTAATTGCTTCATTATTGCTAGGGGTTCAATATTTATCAAACATGGAGTTCCCAGAAATTAATTTACTCTTTGGCATATATTTTGGGTATTTGGTTTGGTTTGACTGGTTTGTTTTTTTGAGGCAGGATTTCACTATGTAGTCCAGGCTGGCCTTGAACTCACAGTGATCCTCCTGCCTCAGCCTCCCAAGTGCTGGCATTACTATACATGCTTCGGGGATGGTAGTGCATACTCATAATCCTAGCACTCAAGAAATTGAGGTGGGAGAAATACTGCAAGTTCAAGGCCAACATCTGGGCTACATAGTAAGTTCAAGGCCAGCCTGCACTACATAGCAAAACCGTGTCTCGAAACAACAAAATGTTGACAGTGACATTATTCACAATTGGTTGTTACGCATTTTTATCCCAACAACAAGAAAAGTAACTAATACATGATTTGCATATATTTTTCATTATCTTTTTATTTTTTGTTGTATTCTTTGTAGTACTAAAATTAAAAATTTTAGTAAGCTTGAGTTATCCTCTGCACATGTAAGTTTTTCTTTTGTTATCTTTGTACCTGGTGCTTTTGGTGTTATATCTAAGCAACCATTACCCAGTCCAAGATCTCAGAGATTTACTGCTGTATTTCTTCAGTTTTATAGTTTTAGCACTTATATTAAGGTCTGTGATGCATTTTGAATTAATTTTTGTATGTGATGTGATATAGGAGTTCATCTGTATTCTTTTTGCATAATAGATATCTTGTCAGTTGTTCTAGCTCTATTTATTTGAGTCTTTCTTCATGTGATAGGTTTTTGTATTTTTGCCTTGCATCCTATAGTAAGAATAACCTTAATAGTTATATATGGACTCCTTAAATTTTCTATATTCAAGATAATACTATCTACTCATAGAAATAATTTTACTTTTTTTCCATTCAATCTGGGTACCTTCTATTTCTTTGTGTGGCCCAATTTCCTTGGCTAGAAACTGTATTACAGTGTTTAATAGAAGAACAGACATCTTATTCCTACTATTGGGGGAAAAGTTTTTGTTCACCATATATTATATCAGTGATGAGTTTTATGTTTTTTCCCTTAATCAGATCACAGAAATTTCCTTATATTCTTTGGGATTTTTTTAGCATGAAAAGTTGTTGGATTTTTGCTAAGTGCCTTTTCTATATCTACTGAAATAATAATGCAGTTTTTTTCTTTAATATGGTATATTATTTTTATTGATTTCCATATGTTAAGCCAGACTTACAGTCCTGAAATAAACCCTACTTGGTCATGATTTATAATCCATTTCGAATGTCACTAGATACACTGCTAACACCCTGTTGAGAATTGCTGTGATTATATTGCTATATTCAGGTGAAATTTTAGTGTGTAGTCACCTCTGTCTTCTTCCCTTCCTCCCCATTTTTAATTTTTTAGACAGAATCATGTTCTGTAGTCCAGGCTGTCTTGGTATTTAGTATACTGGCCAGGCTGACCTAGAACTGGCATGCTT